TACACCTTTGTCAGCACTGACTTAATCTTTGCTAATTTAAAAGGCAAAAGATGGTATTTTATTTCAATTTATATTTGTTTGATTACTAATGAACTATATTTCTAAATATGATTTTTGTGAACAGTTGTCTTTTCTCTGTTGGAATATTGATGTTATATATCTGCAAGCTCTTTTTAGTTATTAATATTCTGCGTGTTGCACGTATTTTCTGAGAGCTTATATTTTACTTACAGGAATTAGTGATTTGTTTTTAAGCCAATGTCCTGTGATTCGTAAGACCAGATATTACATTTTAAAAGCTTGACTAGAGATATGGACCTTGAGGCTTGACTGCTTGGGCCCCTGCTCCTGAAGGTCAACAGATGGGGGTGACCCCCAGCATCATGTCAAAGGTCTGTGGATGAGTCAGGCCCTGGGAGTCAGCAATGGAGCAGTCTCTTTCTGGGCCTCCACAGGGTGTCAGTTGTAGGAAGAGTCTTTTAATGAGCACCTGGCTGGAGCAGCTGAGGTCAGGCAGTGCCGGTCTGAGTGGTTGCTGCAGATCAGGGCATGCAGAGAATGGCTTCTTGGCCCTGCTGGTGCTGGAGGATTGAGTTGCATATTCCCTTGTTCTGATCTTCCCATAGCTTGGCTCCTGAGTGGGTTGGGAGTTAGGAGTGGTTGAGCAGGGTGCCCAGTTGCATGGTGAACTTGGAGGAGAACATTGTGGGTGGAGGAGGCAAGGCGTGGAGTGACTAGTAGGTAGCCATCACAGTACATGGTGGTCTTTCTGAATGCTGGTTACTGAATTGCAACTTGTTTTTCTGTTTTAAGAAGCTTTGTTCTGGAAGCACCACTGGCTACTTGGTAACTGTGGATGGGCTGAAAAAGGCAGACATGTGGAGGTTGCCAAGGAGCACCTATACACAGACTCCTGATGAGACTGGGAGTTTCACTAGTAGGACCACAGAACTCTTCAGAAGGGCAGCCCACTCCTGTGATAGTGCAGTGGTTTGGATCAGACTGGGACATAGAATAAATAGCACATGGTTTTGTGGCTTTAAATCCTTTTATCCCTTTTGAAAATTGAACCTGTTTTACATATACCTTTTGTCTCTTACCAGCCAGGTATGGTAAATTAGGCAGTATGTGTTCTTTTGTATGTATCAAGGCATTTACAGCTCTCATCACTCCTTAGGGCCAGCTCAGAATGCCCGCTCCTTCATTTGGCTAGTGGGTATGGGGGGTCAGCTGTGCCAGGATGGACAGTTGCAAGGATGAGAGGGATGAACACCCATGGGGCAGAGTGGTGATCAAGGAAGGCTTCTGGGAGGAAGCGATGTCTCAGCTGGGGTTTGAAGGGTGACCCGGAGTTCCATGCACTGTTATGGGAGCAAAGGGACGCCACATACCAAGGCATGAAGGCTTAGAACATCATAGGCATTTAGGAAATGAGTGTCCTGTGGCATTGGTGAGCATCAAGTGTGTGTGCTTTGGAGGGAGGAGTGGGTTGAGAAAAGCAAGATCTGATCATGGAAGATAGTGGGAATGCGCTCCTCAACTGTGTTATTGCATACAGAACTTTCTCTTTTTTTTTAAAAAATGTTAATACCTTTATTTCACTTATTTATTTTTATGTGGTGCTGAATATCGAACCCAGGGTCTCGCCCATTCGAGGCCAGTGCTCTACCGCTGAGCTACAACCCCAGCCCCCACATACAGAACTTTCTGTTTGAGAGAGTGACATAGAGACAGGAATCCTTCCTCTATGCTTGTTAGTCCTGTAGCCCTTGACAAGACTGTTATCACTTCAGTGGGCTGCTAGGGGGATGACTGAATGACAAATACATTGTGTGATGTGGCGTGTGCCTCACATAGGGCCTTAGTTGTTTGCCCCTAGGCTGCCTTCCCCTCTCTCCCGGGTGTGCATTCTGGAGTAATGGCATCCGGCTTTGGATCCTGGCAATGAAATAATGGATGACTTGGTATTATAGTTTATGGGGAAAATGGGATGTAATATTTTAATGTTTTGAAGGTTGCATGTCTGTTGATTGATTGTATTTGGTCTGGGTATGGGACCAATATGTAGGAAATGTGAATAAAATTATTAGAGAATTTTGGTCCCATTTGTGTTTGCTGCCTCCTCCTCTTCGTTGTTGCTTTCCCCTTGCCTTCTGTATTGCATTGTCTTGGAATTACCTGAGCACTTGCATCTCATTGTCGAACTGCTTTGGGCATCACGGTGTTTGTGAGTTCCCAGCCCAGTTTTCTCCACAGCAGATGCACTTAGTTTCCCAGATGCCTGTTGATAGTGGCGGCCATCGCCTAGTACTTCTGTGTATTTCTAAAAAGGGGGCGCCAGAGTCCTCCTTTCCTAAAAAGCTAGGCACAGGAGCTCATTTGTAAGTGATTTAGAGATTATCTTGAATGTTGAGTATTCCTTTCTTTTCAGGTTTTTTTTTTTTTTTTTTTGGAGGGGGTTCACTTTTAGGAAGTTTCTGCTTTCCTGAAAATTTCTCAATACTGTGTGTGTGTGTTTGGGGGTCAAGATGTAAACAGGGGAAGCCAGAATGCATTGTAGCAATAACCTGGTGTCCTTTCTGTGTTCACCTACTCTGTCAACTGTTAAAACTTGTCTTTGATACTGTGGAGTGGCTCCCTACACTGGGTAGACCTGCTTTGTTCCAAGAGTCTGGGGACTTCAGTATGTCATTTCCACTTCGAGAAGTTTTGTCTGAGGTGTTGTTTCTAAGCAGGATAAAAATGTTTCTGACAAAGGACAAATTATTCTGTTGAGATGGAAATATTTTTTCTTTTCTTTATGAATGAAACTGAGCAAAGGAATATATATATACCTAGGAAAAAGAACAGAATCAGGGTTTTTATTGTGGAAGTGACAAAAGAAAGGAGAAAACCTAGCCAGTTAAGTGTTAAGGAAAAATGTCTTTAGATGAGCTTGGTTTTCTCCTTCACAGTAATTTCTTATAATTCTCCACAAAGTTGTTAGCAGATACCTGGCTTTGGATTTCTGGGCTCTGGTTCCTTAACCCTTTGGCCTCTGGGATAATCTTGGGCCTCCTAGGAAAAGGCAAGCCTGCTGTTGGCTACTGTTCAGGAATGAATATTTTGTATCTAAAAGTATTTTTTTTTCCCTTCTGAGATTTCCTTATTCTCAGTTTTCTTGTTCTTCCTGTCAACTATTCTTTGCTTTGTTTTATTTTTTATTTTATTTTATTTCTTGAACTAGTGAGACTGAGACTGATTCTCATCTGTGCTTTAAAGCAGAAACTTAGGTTACTTTTTCCTCTCGACCTCTAAATCTCAGAGTGACTGGTGACTTACCAAACATTGGTAGGATTTGATGCCAGTTCTTCATCTTCAAGGACATATTTACTTTGAAATTCACTGGTTAGGTTCGGGTACATTTTCTCTGTATATGTTCTGGTTCTATGTTTAATTTTTTCCCTTTTCCAAAGGGCTTCTAATATCTCTTTAGATTAGAAGACCACTTTAGGTTTTTTTTTTCTTAAGGAGAAAAAGATTTTGAGAGGGGAGAATGGGGTTTGCCTTTTGTACCCAAAGCCTAAATGAATAGTCATTGCTTGTAATGCTGGGCTCCGCTTGCCGCTTCCTACGGCTCGAGACGTGATGTATCCAGTGCTGGGGAGGTAATGATCCTCAACCGCAGCAATATTCCATAACAGGAGTATCTGTCATATTCATCGGGATTACCATGTTCATTGATTTGTGTCTGTAAATCTGCTGTTTCTACCCTTTAAATTTGATCTATAATTGGACCTCCTTAAATGGTTCAGATAAGGTAGTCTGTATTTTCTCAATGCAGTGTTGCTGTCAGCTTCTCCTTTTTCATTATACATTCAGCAGACTTGATAAAATCAGCAGGACACCTCATTTGAAACTGTTTAATCGCTGCCTCTTTCCTTTGCTAAACCATTGAGGTGGTCAAGCGATGTACACAAATCATTTTAAATAGAAAATATGGTTTTCTCTGTGACCCAGCTAAATAGATAGTGTTATGCAAAACAAGTTAAAAAGTAATAAATGCCAAAAAAATCTTCTAATTGGAGTAAAAAATTGTGGGCAACTCTATCCTCTCTCCAAAAGTAGAGTATCCTGAAATATTGCTGGGACCCTGTACAGACAAGATGATGATTTCCTAAAGATTCTCTGGTTTCTGAACAAAGCAAGTTTACATTTTCAAATAGTGCCGAGCTGCCTTTTGCATTCGTTCAAAGGGAATCCGTACTTATTTGAAATGCCTTTACATCCTACTTTGGTAGGGATAAATTTGCTATCTGTTAATATCTATGCAGTGTAACCTTTCAGCCATTTGCTATTGTAATAGTAAATTTTTGTTTCTTTGTCTGTCATTTTGTCTACTCAGCTGTTACTCTTCAAAGTACAAACTAAAAATAATAGCTCCAAATAAATGCCACATAATAAAGTGTTTTACAGTTGTAGCTGGAATAACCTGGTGGCTGCTGCTCGCAGTCCTATTACCATTGCTGGTGTGGGTAGTTTCTTCCCTGCATGTCAAGGTGACTCTACCAGGGCCAGCTCATTAAAACAATGTATTCTTCCTAACTGCCTTGGTATTTAGCACTGTACCCAGCAGCCCGCCGGGCCACAATGTGGAGCACAGCTTCACAGCATAGGATATCTGAAATTGTGTGGCATTTACTTTTTGAAGAAATACAAATTCTCCATAACCTCATTTTCATGCTTCAGCATTTTATTGTGAATAATTTACAATTAAATCCATCAGTAGTAGAAGTAGGCCCAGTTGCAGATTTATCTAAGTTAGTGGTAAGTGTGACTCCAGGTGTTTTGAAGAGCACTCTTTTTGACCCTGTCGATGTGGCCCTATAGGATTGATATTTACACTGTATTTGAATGTGATACTGGGACTGTTTTGCTTTTTTTTGCTGTCCTGAGGTAAACTCGATATGGAGCAGCTGGGAGTTGGCAAAGTACACTAAAAATGCATCTTTTTCTTACAGGTTCTGGCTCCTTGGCAGCAATGGCTGTGTTTGAAGATAAGTTTAGGCCAGATATGGAGGTATGTAAGTCCCTGCAGTTTTATTCTTTCAAATATTTTTCTGGTTGTGTTGAACATTTACAAATTGATTGTCAGTTCCTCCAGAGCTTGTATAACCCTGTTGTTAGTTACAGTGCTCTTTGGCATGGATGGAAGGAATATTTGCTGAGGAGACTGGCTACTCAGGAAGGCATCTTTTTGTAGCAGCCCTGTCATGCTGTCCCTTGGACTTAGGAGCCAGCACTGTTGAGCAGTTTGCTCTGGGCTTCGGGCTGTTTAGAACTCTTCTTGGCTGTAGATGCTGCTGCAGTGTGGAGTGTTTTCTTGTATACTGAGATTTCTGTGTCATGATAGCTCAAAGTGACAGATTTTTCTGTTCTTTCTAAGAATAGAGCAACTGTGTACATCTTTACATGTCATGCAGACCTGACCTGAAAATGGGCCATTTTCAAAATCCCTATAGATTGTTCAGCATCTGGCAGAAGAAATGAGACAAGATCATGTGTGTGCTGAGTCTTCTCAGGGTATAGTGGCTCTAGTGTCTAAAATATATTTATGAGATACTTTTACTATGTTTTCTTTGGTGGTGGGGAAGGAGGTATCTGTGAATGATATTCTATATAAGTGTGCTTTAATGATAGATGTGCCTCTTCATTAAGCACCCCCCGCCCCATGGAAAATAGGTCCTCCAATAACAAATCCACAGATCTTCCATTGCCTCTCTCAGAGGAGGGTTCAGTCTGCTTGGATGCTCAAGGTACCACATTGTACTACATTATTTCTCTACTGTGTATCATCTGTGCCACTAAACCAGCATGTAGGCACTTAAGTCCTGGCGGCAGCCTTCATCCTCTGCTTTTGGTTTTGGGATGGTTAATTTTTTATTAGTAAAATAGACAGTTTATGAGTGGTTTACCCCATTTCTTAATATATTTGTTTCTGTTATTTATGACTTCACAGTATTTTGGTTTGGGAACCAAAGGATTTGATGAAATTACTCTTTGATAGTGCTTTATGCCTAGTCGTCTTGGGGAAGATCACATATTAAGGATATTTTGTTCTTTCACCATCTCATCATCATTGGAGCTCTGAAGCTCTTTCTGCCTTTGGGTGTGGCTCAAGCCAGAGAAAGCAGGTAGTAGATGATGACCAGCCAGGGCAGGGAGTTTCTACCAGAAATCACTATGCCCTTGGTACACGAGGACTGCACAAGTACGACACTCTGTCAGTGGGCTGGATGTCTGTCCTTTCCTAGACATCTGTAGGAAATTAAACATAGAAACTGAAAGCAATAGTGTCTTGCTGCAATTAATAATAAACAGGGCCAGGTATAAAACTATAAATAAAATTAGTTTCATTTCTCAGTGTTAAAATGTATTCCCATATCAGCATTATTTTCCATTTGGGATTCTTAAATATGTGAGGAAAAGTAATACATATCAGAGGTCACTTGGGGAAAAAAAAGGTTTCCCAAGCTTCTGACTAGAGGCGAGGAGTTTTAATGTTAAGTCCTTCTTTAAACCACACTGATTAATCTTTTTAAATTCTCTTGAAAATTTTGTCTGTTTTCAGTAGATTGGGACCTCCATATGTTAAAGAAAAATAAGAATTGCAGGAGAAGTTGAAAATATGAGGTATATTAAAAGATACTTAACTCTGCTAAAGTAATTGTACACTAGTTAGAGTTTTGGTTTGAAATGGTCCAAATACCATGAATTTAATATTAATGTGATTTGGGGGAGGAAGTGGATATGTCAGCATCCTCTCAGTGGAACTTCCAATGTTTCTTAAAGTAATTATATCTGTAACTCAACACTTAATGTTCTGTACTACCTATGAGACCTTGAAACCTGATGAATCAGTTCCCATTTCAGATTGATTATTTAAATTTACAGTTTCTGTTGTTGTAGTATGAGGCACATTGAAAATCAGTGAAGGTCACTATCAAGCATGAGATAGTACCTGCTTCTCCCATTTAAAAGGAGACAAAAGGCAAAGGAGAGTATAACAACTGTCAACTGTCAGTTCGGGACACTTTAAAGATATTTAAATTCATGTTAACAGGGACCCCTCCCCCTGCCTGGACCCCTCCCCACCAGGGGAAAGCCAGGCTAACATTGCTGGCCAGACTGCTCTCATAGTGAGTGTGAGGTGAGGCTGTGTCAGTGGAAAGCTGAGGCTGCTAGTGAAGTTGGGAGGACATTGTGCCAGGGACTTCTTTGTTGTGAAAGAGAGCTTGACTGCAGTGTCATTTCTGCAACATTTGCATAGAACACATAGAAGATGGGTTGGTTTTAAATTTCTAAACCTTTTGTTTTCCTTCTTTGGGTTACAGGAAGCCTCATAACTTTTCTTTTTTGCCTAAATAGAGACTGGAGGGTGGGGTGACCCTTTTAGCTTGTGAAAGGACTCTAGATATGTCACAATCAGAAAGAAACCCAGGAGAGCATGCTCTCATGTCCCTCTTGGTTTGCTGGGACAGCAGCTCTGCCTAGGCAGAGAATGGTATTAACAGAGGCTACTTTTGGGCTGTTGTAATTTTACATTGTTTGTCCAACACTAAATTTTAGGGCCAGACTAAGCCAAGAAACTTTTATTGTTTAAAACAAATAATAAGAGGAAGCCCAAAGTCTTTTTTTTTTTTTTCTTTTTTAAATCTGCAAACCTATGTATTGGATAGTGCTGGGCTGGGACTAGCAGATCTATGGAATGAGAATGACTGTGGTATTTATGGAGTGAAGATTCTACCCTGCTCAAAATAGTGTTTCCTCATTGTCTGTAGCTGCTCTGTTCAATATGGTAGCCACTCTCTGCATGTGGCTGTTTATTACTTGAAATTTGACTGGTCAGTTGGAGGAAGGTCTGTAGGTAGAAAAACACCACAAGATCTCAGAAATTTAGCATAAACACTTTTTAGTATCTCAATAATTTTTATATTGGGCTCGGGTGTAGCGCAACTAGGAGAGAGCTTTCCTAGCATGTATTTGAGCCTCAGCACCACACACAAAATTTATATTCATCACATGTTGAAGTGATCAGTTAAATAAAAACATGAATAAAGCTAATTCCCTTTTTTTTTTTAGTTGTAGATGGACACAATACCTTATTTATTTTTATGTGGTACTGAGGATGGAACCCAGTACCTCACACATGCTAGGCAAGTGCTCTGCCATTGAGCTGCCACTTAGCTACAGCTGCAGCCCCTTCGCATGTCTTTGCTTAAAATGTGGCTACCAGAAAATTTATCTAGCAGGGCTAATCTAATTGTCTCTTGAACTTTTCATTGTCATATACCTCATTTTTTTTCTGCCATATTTTGGTGCCATCAGTACTTCAGCCTTGAGAATATTCTTTAAATGAACTTACTTTTAAAAAATAAATGGAGGTATAATTTATGTATTATAAAATTATAAAATGCACAGGGCTATGAATTTTGGCAATTGTAATCAGAAGTAACGGTCATTCAAATCAAGACACTGAACATTTCCTTTACCTCCAAGTACCCTTCCTAGTCAGTCCCTTCCTGCTCTTTCTTATAGCCACTTCAGTTCTTCTTAAATTTATTTTATTATTAAAAAAATTTTTAGTTGTAGATGGACACAATACCTTTATTTATTTATTTTTATGTGGTGCTGAGGATTGAACCCAGTGCCTCACACATTAGGCAAGTGCTTTACCACTGAGCCACAACCCCAGCCCCTTAAATTTATTTTTAAGTATAGTTTATATCTATGAAATCCTGGATATGGTACGCTGGTTATAGTTTTCTCCAAGACACATGAAAACAGGTGCATACTGACAATAGAAAAAGGAATGTGTTCTGGTATCACCATCATGTGTAAGCATAGGGGGGATGAATGTTAAGCTCCGGGGACTGTGGTTCTACCTCAAGACATTCCTGTCTGCTCCCTGTTCTTGAAACAGTGTATTCTTACTTGCTGCTGACTCCTTCTCACTGCTGGTGTCTGCCAGCTAGGGGCTTCCTCATTTATATGTGTCCCTGTGCTCTATTGGACACACCCTGTTCCTTTGTTTGGTGGTTCTTTTTAGAGGCACCTTCCCTGCTTGCCAATGACAGCAGGAGCTTCTTGAGGGTAGGGGCCATGGAATCTTCCCCGTTCTCGAGCTCCTGGTGTTCAGTACGTGCTTGCCGAGTTGAGACAGTATAACTGAGCTAAAGCAAAACTGTCTGGGAAATGGAGGGACTTCCTCCTTCCCATCTGGAGAAAGTGCTGTGAAGTTACAGAGGAGGATAACTAATACTCTTAAATAGTGTACAGTATTGGGGCAGAGTCAGCAAAGCAGACACCCCATTAAGTGCGTGAGTGAAAGAAGATGGAGCAGGGGGGCAGATGCGCATTGGGAGGGTACAGGCCAGAAAAGCTGGACTGGTAACAGCCCAGCCAGGATTCTTAAATGCCCAGCATGAACCTCTGCTATTTCAGGGCACCTTAGCCAAGGACCTGCTTCAAATGAAACCCTTGGTTCAAAGTTTCCTGCCGAATAACCAGTGAGTTCAAGGAGTGTGAAAGGTCTTTAAAAATTCTCACCCATTTGTGACCCAAGTGCTGCCTTAAGTGGTCTTGTAATTTTCATTTTCTTGCTGTTAGCCTGGAAGTTCATGAACAGGGACTGTGATTATTCATTTGTTTCCTTAGACCTAGCGTGGTCACTGGTACCAAGCGGGTATTCAGCCAGTATCTGTCGATGGGTAGGTGAAGAAGGGTCAAAAGCAACCTTACCTTGGGGTTCTCACTGAATTCATCATTCTTTGAACGTTTAGTGCTCATAGTTTTCAGCTGTGTTGGAAATGAAGCCTCATGAACTTGTATTTCTTCTGGATGATAGGTCTCACACTTTATTTTATAGTAAAAGGTGTTTATTCAGACATCATACCAATGTATCAGAATAGTGGATTTTGAAATATGTGAGTTGACCTGATTATGAGGGTCATTTGTTAGAGTAGTGTTTTATGATGATAAATTGCATGGAGCTGTTTGTTCTCCCAGCTTTTCTGTTGT